AATCAATCAATCAATCAATCATCAATCAATCAATCAATCAATCAATCATCAATCAATCAATCAATCAACCAATCAATCAATCAATCAATCAATCAATCATTAAAAAAAACAATCAATAAATGAATTTTTTTTTTCTTTCTATTTTTAAAATTTTTTTTGCTACCTATCAGAAACAACCCCCCCAAATTTTTGATTTTTTTTTTTTAATGCAGGCCGATAACGACCGATGTGCGCAGGCCGAGCGCGCATGCCGATTTTGAGCGCGCGCCCCTGCCTTGGCGTGGCGTGGCCGCGCGCAGACTCGGACGCGCAGCCTCGGCCTCGGCCGCAGGATCCGAAATCGACGGTGTCACATAGGGTGCAGGTACCGGGACAAAGTCAGTGGGTACCAAAGACGGCCATCGCCGCTCCTAAACCCTTCACAGGGGATAAGAGGGGCGAAGACCTTGACACTTGGTTGAGGGCAGTGCAGGTCTATGTCAAGTGTAAACTTACCTTGCCGCATGAGGAAGTGCTTGTGGCTGCATCCTCCCTAGAGGGTAGTGCAGCAAGATGGTTGAGTGGTTTAGTGCAGTTACAGGGGTACGATCATGACTTCCGCGCTTGGGCAGCCCACCAGAAACTGGAGGACTTTCTTAAGATGGTGGAAGACAGGTGGCATGATTCTCAGGAGGCCCAAAAGGCTACTGACGCGATCCTGACACTGCACATGAGGCAGTTCAAGTCAGTTAGAGAGGCCACTGACGTTGTAGAGCGTCTGATCTGTGTCCCTAGGGTGCGCTATGATCCCCAAGTCTTACTCACCTCCTACCTGAGATGCTTTCCTATGCCTCTCAGGAATCAGTTGGCAGGTGAGGCCAACATCAATGTGCGTAACTTCCCCTCGTTCAGCAAGAAGGCCCTAGACCTTGAGGCAAAGATAGGGCATGGACATAATCCCACTACGGATGGTAGGAAGAAGACACTGCCTCCCAACTGGAAGGCGAAGGGTCGCATTATGTTTGTCGATAACGATGGTTCAACCATCGAGTTAGGCGACAACTTCCAGGAGGGAGTTGGTTCGGAGGCGGGCAGCGTAGAGGCTTCAAGGGGTGGAGTAGTCGCTGTCGTAGCTCAAAAAGGTAAGGCGGCCGGTAGACGCCGTGGAGGTTCCCGGTCAAGGAGTCAAGTTGACCCCAATGCTCCTCCATGGGAGAAAGCGGGTCTCATTGAGGACGTGTGGAGAGATCAATATACACGACATGCCTGTATTTGTTGTGGTCAATATGGCCATAACCAATTCAAGTGTCGCAACAAGAAGGTGACCGAGAAGATCCCGCCTACGATGGGGCAGGCATTTGGATCCTCCGCTCCCGTTGGTAGCAATGTGGCTAGCACTTTTGGCACTGCTCCGGGAAACACGTCGGGCCAGTAGGAATAGTAGTTGTTCCTGCTAGGGTCGAGGTGGTGGACACACCCTCACCATCTCGGGAGGTGGCCCAAGCTACTGACTCCATCGTCGTCCTGCAAACACGTTCAGACCCATCGAGCTTCTGTTCGATGAATGTGTTTGAGTCCTTAGAGGAGCTAGAGGAGGAGTGGTCTAGATCAGACCCACTGGCTTCTTGGACGACATTAGTCAAAGCCCCTAAGGGTGATATGTTTGTTAGCGAGGTGGTTATCGGCGGCCGCAAGGTCGGGGCCTATTATGACACTTGCTCGACTAGGAACTTCATCAGTCGCGCGTGCGTTGAGAGGCTGCACTTACAGGGGCAAGTGCAGCGCCTGAGTCGACCTGTGGAGTCGACCTGTGCCAACAAACAGCGCATGGTAGTCAACGACTACCTCGAGGATGTTGAGTGTTGTTTCCCGTATGCGGGAGGGTGATTGAGACATCGCGTCTCGTTCCTAGCGAGTGATGAACTCCCCATGGACATGTTGTTAGGTATGTACCACCTCTCTGTGGCACAGCCCCAGTTTGACTGGGACCGAAAAGTGGTCAAACACACTTTGCCAGGTGGAGGGACCGCCAGATTACATAAGTTCAAAGCTAATAGTCTGATTGAGTTCCACGGATGCATGTGTGCGGCCATGTTCTATAATTATTATAAGCATAATCAAGAGGAGGGTATGTATCTAGTTTATGTCTCTGTTGCAGGCGAGCCGGTGAAAATGTCGCCGGAGATAGAGGGAGTAGTTGCTAAGTACCCTGATCTATTTGAAGAGCCGACAGGGGTTGTTGAGAGGGAGGTCATCCACGCGATAGAGATTATCCCAAGGTCTAGTATCCCAAAGGGTAGGATCTATCGGATGTCTCCAGGCGAGCTTGATGAGCTTCGCCGACAACTCAAGGAACTCGTAGAGAAGGGTTGGATCTGGCCGAGTGTTTCTCCTTATGGGTCTCCAATTCTATTTGTACCTAAGAAGAAAGAAGGAACATTTAGGATGTGCATTGATTATAGGGGCCTCAATGTCATCACTGTTAAGAACAGAGAGCCCCTACCGTGCATCGATGACTTGCTAGATAGAGTGCAAGGGTGTCGATACTTCAGTAAGATAGATCTGAAGTTCCGGTACCATCAGATTGCAATCCGGCCCGAGGATCAACACAAAACTGCTTTTCAGACCAGGTACGGATTGTATGAATTTGTGGTGATGCCTTTCGGTCTTTGCAATGCTCCTGGCACCTTTCAGCACACTATGAATCGAATATTTCATGACTACTTGGATAAGTTTGTCATCGTGTACCTCGATGACATACTTATTGTTAGTAAGACTGTCGAGGAACACGTTGCGCACTTGGACGAAGTCCTGAGTCTTCTGCGACAGCACAAGTTTAAAGATCAACGGTGAGAAGTGAGTTTGGCCGCACCCGTGTCTTGTACTTGGGTCATGAGATTTCCGCGGAGGGATTAAAGCCCGATGACGCGAATGTGGCCAGCATTCGTGACTGGCCGCGTCCTCAGTCTGTGACTGAGATGAGGTTTTTCTTAGGGATGACCGACTACTATCCCAACTTCGTGAAGACCTATAGCATAGTTGCCGCCCCTTTGACTGATCTAACCCGCCTTGACGCCCCATGGGAGTGGACAGACAGGTGCGAGGCTGTTTTCAGACATCTGAAGCATGCGTTGACGCATCATGAGGTCTTGAAACTTCCTGATCCTGACAAGCCTTTCGTAGTAAGTACGGATGCTGGCCAATATGGCATAGGCGCCGTACTTGCGCAGCAGGAGGGGAAAAAGTTGAGGCCAGTAGAGTACATGTCCAAAAAGATGCCCTCTCAAAAGTTGGCTAAGTCCACCTATGAGAAGGAACTCTATGTGATCTACAGGGCGCTCACCCATTGGAGACACTACCTCCTTGGGAGGTTCTTCTACGTCAGGACTGATCACCAGACCCTGATGTGGATGAGAACCCAGCCTGTGCTCTCTGACGCTCTGAAGCATTGGATTGAAGTCATAGAGCAGTATGACTCTGAGCCTCAGTACATCAAGGGCGAGTACAACAAGGTTGCTGATGCGTTGTCGCGTAGACGAGATTTCTCTGGTGCGCTGATCACTGAGTTTGGGCTTGCGGACAATTCTACTCAGTCTTTGGTGGAAGCCTATCACGAGGATGTCGGAGATTATACGCAGACTTGAGGCGAAGGACAAAGCGACCTCTGCCGAGTTTGAGTTGTTCAACGGATTGGTGTTCCTTGAGAAGGCAGGGAATAAACGTTTCTATGTGCCAGATAGGGAGTCTTTGCGTAGTGCGTAGTTTATTTTTAGGCAAGTGTCATGATGCCACATGACATTTTGGTTTCAAAAAGACTGCAGCCAATCTGCTGCAGTGGTTCTGGCGGCCCACAATGATGAGAGATGCTATGCTGTACGTGGAGACTTGTCAGGTCTGTCAGAGAGACAAGCCCCGTACACAGGCCACTCTTGGGCTCCTCAAGCCCCTTCCGATTCCGAAAAGGCCCGGTGAGAGCCTATGGATTTCATGGACACGCTGGTCACCAGCAAGAGCGGAATGAGACACATCTTCGTTATCGTGGATAGGTTTAGTAAGTACGCTAGGTTAATTGCAATGCCGGAGACAGCAAAGACTGAGCATGTAATTAAGTTGTTCAAAGAAAACTGGGTTAGAGATTTTGGATTGCCAAAGTCTATAGTCAGTCACCGTGATGTGCGATTCACAAGTGAACTGTGGAAAGCCGCAGCTGCAGAACAGGGAACGCAGCTGCAGATGACATCAAGAAACCATCCCGAGGCGAATGGGCAAGTAGAACAGTTAAACCGCGTTGTACAACACCTGCTGAGGCATTACATCAAGCCAAATCAGGTAGACTGGGATGAGAAACTTGCTCTCATTGCCAGCCTGTACAACAACGCGGTCCACAGCGCAACAGGCGTGAGCCCGAATAGTCTGCTATTAACCTTTAAGCCTAGACTGCCCTTGGATTTCTTACTACCTGAGAACCAGCCCCTTGCTGCGCCAGGGACTTTAGAGTTTGCTTATCGATATGAGCAGCTGATGCAGCAGGCTGTTGAACAAATGCACAAGGCACAAGCGGCGATGATAGAGTCTGAGAACAAACACCGCCGCCCATCCACGTTTCAGGTAGGAGAGAGAGTCTGGGTCAAGTCCTCAGAACTGGGACAGGAGCACGAGATCTCCCGCAAGCTCATGCCACAGAACTTTGGACCATGGGAGATTCTGGATGTCGTTGGGAATGAACCAGATGGGCCGTCCTATGTTGTTCGCATCCCTGGTCACTTACGCACTTGCCCTGTTTTCCACGCCTCAAAGCTTGCACCTTTTAAAGAAACAGATCAGTTTCCATCTCGTCGCTCAATGCTGCCACCAACCATGGATGGAAAGGTCGACATCGATGATATTGTTGACCACCGGGAGATGCCAGTTCCAAGACTAACAGGCAGAGGACGTCCTCCGAAACCGAAGCTGCAGTATCGAGTTCGGTTCAGACATCACACTGATCCAAAGGAGGAGGACAGATGGTTCACAAGGGAGGAACTGATGCAGACCGCTCCACAGGTAGTCGCCCACTATGAGAAGTCTTTACGGAAAGGAAAGCGCGAGATTATCGAAGACTGAACTTCTCAGAGGACTAGCGAAGTATGGAGGAGGGAGTGCGAGGCACAAGACCTCGATAAGCCCCATTGGGCCCTATATGCAACAGTGTCGGCCGCCCTAAGTGAAGGCAGGCCTGACAGACCCTCAGAGGCCTATTTTGGACTACTTCGCAACCGGGGAAAATTCAGGCAGTTGCGCTGCGCCAGTTGGTTGGAAGCGCCCAGGCCCTGGCTTGCTTTATCAAATGCATCTGAGTCAGGCCCCGAGCGAGATTCGCAACATAGGCCCAACCCACGATGCGGGCAGTTGGGCACAGGTAACTGTCGGCAGCCCTGGGCCAATTCGTTTGGTCTGGGCCTCAGCCTACCGGGGCCTACCGGAAGCTTCTTGGGAAAGGCCCAGCGCAGCATGAGACAGAACGCAGGCAGGCCGCTTCCATAAAGCAAAGGGCCTGCCTCCGCATGGGACATTTCGGGTGCTGGCTGCATGCTGCGCAAGTGCTGCTGCGCTAAAGCTGGCTGGCACTTACGCGCTCATGGGCGAGCAGGAAGGAGAAGGCAGCCATAGCCGAGCTGCGCTGCTGTAAGCTGGGTGTGGCGCAGGGTGGTCCTTGGGTGCAAGTGGCATCTGTGAGTTGGGGAACGAGGTTGTGGGCGATACGAGAGACATACCTGGTGCTAGAAGCGACGGCATTGTCCGAGATCTGCTCGTACTTCGGTGAAGCTGTTGACGTCATCCGGCGGCATTGTAGATTAGGCTAGATAGGATCTGCCATCTGTAGTCTGGGCGCCGAGCGCCAGATAGGATATCAACATTGGTTCTTCGTTGATGATGATGATGAGACTATTCCAGCATTGTCAATTATGAGCTCTTGGTGTGTTCTTATTTGGTGAAACTCGTGATGCAATTCTGCTGTTGGTTCGAGGTCACGACTATCTGGTCTTATGTGTATGATGCTGTTTGATTTCTGAAGTTCGCTATCGCGCTTCTTCCTTGCACAGGGCCTGTAGGCCCTTGTTTTCAGGCTTTCAGGCTGAAACGACACAGGGCCTGTAGGCCCTTGTTTTCAGGCTTTCGGGCTGAAAATGACACGGGCCTGAAAATGGCCCGTGCAGCCTGTTGCAGGCGCAGCATGTAACACCCCCTAGCCGTTTCCAAGTCACATCGCGGCAGGCCAAGTTCCTTTCCACCCCTCGCCCCCTCACCGTTTCCCATACCCCATACATCAAACATGGATGTACTGGAGGAGAAAGTTAATGTGAGTGTACCAAAAGCTTGGCGCGCAGTGGACGGCCGTCAGGCCCGGGTGTATTGAATGAGTGTCAGCGTCTTTCGAACAGTCGCATTAAAACTTTCCCTCAGCGAAGCTCGGATCTCATAAACTTTTGAACAGGAACTTCGCGGCAATATCAGTCAAAACTTGAGAAAACCGCATGCCCAGGAGAAGTCAATGCTACAGCAAATAAGGGGGAACCCTCTCTGACAATTTGTGGCAGCCTTCCCTCTCTCACAAAGTAAGCCATCATGTTCGCGCCAACCATGCTCTCAAGATAGTGTAACACACTCGAATGAAAATCAGATTCACACAGCAGAAAGCTTCAGGACAGGTTGAGACTCAGAGAGGCATATTGTCACGTAGACAATCTAAGAACTCAGAAACTTGGAAACTGCGATATATCACCCGGGAAATGGGGGTCCACACTTCAACACTCAGATGTTCAGACAGCAGAGTTCAAAATCTGTAAGCCGCCAGTACATAGCCCAGGCAAATTTGACAATCACAACAGAGCCAACCTGAAAACTACGGAGGCTCGGGGGGCTGCCCGACCAAAATGGTCGGCGGCGCCAGCCAAAAGAAAAGGAATAGCGCTGCTCTGCCATCTGGCAAAGCTTGGCGTGCAGGGGCAATCCGCCTCGTTCAAAAGAGGCTCGCATGTACTGATGGTTTAAAGAAGCGAAGAACCTGATGGCTCAAAGAGAGCTTGGACCTAGTAGGATTGCATACCGAATTCCTTTCTGGCATAAATTCTTTGTGGATCTCAGCCAGAGCCTTAATCTCATCCTTGGCTTCCTCCTTTCGACCTTGCTTCTGAAGAGCCTGCAACATACCCCAACGACATTTATGTTAGGGGAGCTTTGGGCCTTTGGCCAATTTTTTTGTCTAAAAAACTCTCTAAATTATAAATGCAACCTACCCCAAAACAAGCAAGCAAGGGACCATTTTCTGCCATGGAAATAATTGGTTTCGTTGTTATGAAGTTATGAACACTCAACACTGTTTTTTTTTGTTTTTTTTTTTTAATTAAAGCAGTGACATCACTCTTTACTTTAACCGGGCCTAGTGCCCAAGGCTTACAAGAACATTGCACACCCTGCAGATCGCAGGGTCAGATGGGTTCCTGCTTGGTCCGTCCTTAGCCTCACCAACTATGAAGTGGACAACCCATCACATTGTTGGTCGCTCATGGATGCGACTTGACTGAGGCATAGGACCTCCCCACACCACTCACCAAAGGTGCAAAATGAGAATAAATATTTCCCTAGAACATGGGAATATTCACCGCCATCATTTTTGTTGTTTCAACTTGCTTGTGCATTTGGTGAATGGTGCGGCGAGGCCCATGCTCATATTCTATCAGCACTCCACTTCCATCTTCCCCCGAAAAGAATGCACGCCGTACGGAATTATAACTGTATTTGAGGCAAGTTTCAGTGTCTCTATGTACAGCGATAATGATTGCAAGGGACCTGACTGTCAACACTTGCCAGAGTGTAACACAATGCATGCCACTTCACCATTCACACAGATTACGACTCCACACACAACGCAGAATGGGGATGAGATGAGAACTAGGCCCCGCAGCTCATATTATCTCAAACACACTATAAAGAGCATCTTGAGTTCATGTCTCCAGGCGCTCAACAACATGACCTGTCTCTCTCTTGAACATCAACATAATGGGGCCTGGCTTAGCCAGCGCCACCTCTCACAGCAACCAGCGAGCGCAGAACAGGTAAGTAGTCACCATAGCCATTCGTCAACCTGTCCTTCTTCTCCCTCTCTCTCTTTCACTCTCAAGATCTCAGTCTTAGTCCTCCTCTCTCATCATACATGCACACTCCTACCATGAAGATCTACTTTGAATGCTACTCACTGTAGACGAACAACTAACCCTCTAACTATGCTACTTGGCAGTCTTGGCTGGTGCAGCTATGGCTGCCTCTGGCAAGACAGTGCTCAACTCTTTCTTCCTTCCAGCGCAGCTTCTCCTCCAGCGCTAACCCAACTAGCCAGTGCACAAGTGCACGCAACACTTCCACGCTGATAATGCCAGTGGGGATCTGATGTCAAGGGAGGCTGGCCTATTGCTTTATACTGCTGGCCCCCCCTGGCGAGGTCTGCATTGGTCTGTATTGGCACTGTGGGTCTCCTTCAGTCCCAGACCCATGCATATGTGTGTGTCCCAGTATTTTCCCCTCAGGGTCTGCTGCTGCTGCGGCCATTTGGCCTGGATTTCGGACTGGGTGTCTGAATCTAGACCCCCTATTAGACTTGGACAGAACTGGGAACCTGCCCTTTGACTTCCTTTTGGACAGACACACATTCTGCACGAACAGACACTCATACTGCACGAACAGACACATACTGTAC